GCGCAATTGAAATCGGGTCAAGGTTTCTTGGTCACGTGGGTGGAACAACGACAGTTAAAATAAACGATGTCGAGCACTGAGATGGTGTTAATGAGAGACTCAAACAAAGCTCTTGTTTGTCAGGTTTTTCAATCGAATTTAAAGTTCCAAAACACAGGAGACGTTCCCGGCACAGCTGCTTCAAATACTTGTGATTTACAAGTCAGAAGGGGACTTACACAGGACGACTAAGTGTCATCATCATTGACAACAATACCAAGGTGAGATAACCGCCATGAAATCAGGTTATAAATAGCTCCTCTGAACGGATGAAAACGAGGATGTGTGCGGAGGCACTTCGTCACCAGTACGAGCAGGTGAACATACTTCACAAAAGGGCCCGGTTCTCAAACAGCACAGAAAGGGATAGCGAGATCGAGCCCACAGAAAACTAGCAGGAGCGACAAGATAATCTGTTCAAATAGACTTCGAAATCATGATGTGGTGAGTACTGTGCATGAAGGAAGAACGAAGGATGCACGCTCGAGAGAGAGAGAACAGCTTTCTCAACTGTGCTAGGCATAGAAACAAGGATGAGCGGTGAGACTAAACGAGGGAGAATTTCACCATGCGGAAAAACAGCTTATGGGTTGAAAACAGCCTATGGGGATGCTTAGAAACCAGTCGTCGGACGAAGCCTTGAAAGCACCACGCGGTCATCCAACGACCTTATTGGCATTTCTGAGCTGACGGCCCTCGCAAACTTGGTGTGCTTGGTCATTGATGCTGGCAACATACATGGAAGCAAGTCGGGGCGAAAAATTGTCACAAAACGGTGCTGCAACATTGCAAACTGACTCAGCCTGCAGAGGCCTCACCAAGGTGACCGGGTTGATAACGTTCCGGATTACCATCTGCATCGACTGTGTTCAGTTCCCACGAAAGTCTTCAAATCCATTGCCTTCCCCCATCCTGATAAGCCGTACATCTCTGCTTCGCAAACAGGAACAAATAATATTTTAAGGAGTCCACTAAAGCCGGATTCTGAACTGTTCATACAATCATTGTCGCCGCCGGCCTACTAAGGATGGAAACATGACCTTGAACAGTGAGATTCGGATTCCTCAGGTCATCTATGGAAGCAAGCAGTTGGAAAAAAAACTGGTAATATCTCAGACGTTCATTAAATCCTATTCGTCCTTCTCCGGCAAATTTTTCAGTCTTCAAAGAAGAGCGGTTTATGAATTTTCGTGTAATAAAGCAAAGCTGGACTGAAAAAGCATATGCAATGTTTCAGATTGACATTGAGTAGAAAGGCGGATGAGGCCTGCTAAACTTTGCGTTGTTTATAAGCATCGAACACCTCTTACTGACAAAAGGTGATTTCGGCTCCCTTGGCACGTGACCTGTTAGGCACTAGTGAGGTGAATTAATTAGTGAACACAATGTTGTGGGTGGGCATGATTAGAAATACGAACAAAGCTTTCTTGACTGCAAGAGTAGCGTAAGATTGAACTGCCTCGAATCCGGATTCCACCAGGTGGATCGGCTACATGTAGCACACGCGGAATGATGAATGTCCGCTACCTCAGAAGTCTCTTTGTCGTTTAACTGCAACATGCCCAGCTGTCATGTTATCTGAATGAAGCATGAGGAATCAGATACTGCCAGGTTGTCCAAACTTAGATAGGAGAGGTCGAGATGCTAAGGTCGGGTTCGGAACATGGACCTTCCGGACGTAGTTCGCGACTTAACCACTGAGCTATCCCACTGTGACCTTCAAACCACGAGCGACAGATTTAAAATTTTTGTGAAATTATTCTGCTTTTGAAAGCCCATACGATTGAGAATAGCACTGTTGCTAAGAACCTACAGTACTGTTTGTCTGTCTGGAAGAAAATCGTGTTTCAAAATTCATGAACTGTATGAGAATTGTGAATCTTTTTTTAGTTCTGGGTGTTCTTCCTGCCATTGGATGAAACCATTGGTAGAAGAATATGAGAGTCTACCCTACAAAATTCACAAGCATCTGAATTTCAAGAATGAATGGGTCCAGAATGTAGCTGGATACAGTGTTTCAGACAAAGAACACCCCCGGCTGTGGGAGGCGGCCGACAGGGACCGCTTGCCCTGCGTTCTCCTGAGGGATGGGAAATCGGGCGTCGTTGAAACATATGCCATTCACTCCATATTATATACATACATGCTAATCGAAATAAAAGCGCAGTTAATGCTGTTAGCAGTGTTTTGAAGAACTACGTAATCTTCGTCTGGTTCACGTACCCCTCTCTTCCCCTCTTGACCTCTGTCAGCTGATACTAAGAATTCGTAAAGGACCTGACAAGCATTGGAAATTCCCCGAGGGCAATTACTCATAGCCCCATGAACTGCAGCAAAAGAACTATCAAAGACATCACTGGCGGACTTCTTGAGCCCTACGTATTCCGGAGTGACTCACTAGCCAACACTGTATAAAACAAATAGTAGTGATAATAATACACTCGTTCAGCTGTAACACCCTCTCGGTGCCTAGATGCCATGTCACCCGAAGAAATCCCGAGCACTGAGATGCTGGTCGGCTGCTCAAGTCTAGATGGAAGCAGTCGAGATGCCGGGGTTGCGTTCGAACCACGGACCTTCCGGTCAGTAAGTTCCCGTCTTAAGCACTGAGCTGTTTCTTGGCAAATGAGAATCAAGCGACGAACTGCTCCATCGAATTGTTCTCAAAGGGGAAGTTCAGTACACCAGTGCATGGTGTATCTGCGGTACCGAAGGAAAGTCTACCTGGATTGTTTGGATACCGATGCTCTGTCAATTAATGTCAATCCGTCGTTGAGCAGTAGACCGATCTCACGCTAATTTATAAAGCGTGTCATTGTATTTGGAAATTTCTACCCTTACGAATCCCTGTTTGGGGATCAGTAAACTGATTGTCAACATCATAACAACGTAGAAGTACGTTATCAGCAGGGAGAAGTACCTTTTCTAGAAAAAAAAAACTAGTTCCAGCTAGTGTATTTTTTGAAAGCAGTGGAATTCTCGTGTGGGTGGTTTTTCTTCGGAGGGATCGCAAACTACATCGTGTCTCACACGAGTTGATGCTATGTAGGCTGTATTAATGTTTAGCCATTCTTATCACAATTTTTAGAATGTTTCCGGACGTTTCTGGTTTTGTTGTTTACGTATTATATATAAAACGAGGAGTGAAGATGTCGTATACTGCACGAAGATCCAGAAATTCAGCTATGAGTGGAGTGTTACCGGAGTGGCTTCCGAACTTTCCTACGTTTCGTAGACTAGGCTTGTTTCCCCATTCCAGTAGGCCACCAAAGTGGATGATGACCACTTCAGGAAAATAGCTTCTCCGTGGAGGAGATCAATGTTCGACGGATCGCTGTGACAGCTCGCAAACTTTGACACATTGGGAAACAAATGTGTGTACACAGCAGGGAGTCGTCTGCCTAATTTGTTTTATTGTACAGAAACTAAAAAAAACACAAACTTTGTACCCTGGTCTTTGACCAGGGGTGAGGCTGAGGTGGTCTTTGTTGGGAGTTGGGGGAGAGTCTATGAAATTGTATCAATTCCAAGTCAAGCTTCATGGTACTAGAGTGAAGTAGCCTTGATGGGGGGGAACTAGTACACATAACCAGAGTGCAGCTCACTCGAACCGCCACGTAATAAGTCATCGGAACTGCTTCTTAAAAAGCGCATCACATTGCGGTCCGTTGACTTTAACGGGGCTGTCACAGCCGGTGACACCGTTGTATGCGACAAGCACAGCTACACCGATGTACTTTGAGGCTCCTAATGAACGTAGTTGCTATAAGTAATTCATCCGCCAGTTCCGGTTATAAATCGAGAGGATAAGCTATCATTGGAAGGTCACTCAAGCCGGGCTGTGACACCGTTATATGAAGCATGCTGCGCGGTTTGTAGGGTGGCCTAAATTCACCACGAAGAACGTCCAGCCGTTATACTTGGGACGGAAGAGTAGCCAACGATTATCAACTACATTTCCCAGCACTAACAAATATAAAAAACGGAATCTGTGCAACAAAAATTCAGACCATTGAAGTGCATCGGCAAATAAAGATTTGCAGGGGTCCGTCGCAAGCAGTCCACTAACCATCATCCGCAGATCGTCTGTGTTGGCCGTCTGGGACAAGCTAGACGCAGACCGCCAGAACAAGGTCACTCCGCACAGATCGATAAGCGTCTTATCGCGAAGAACATTGTCCTCATCGACCTGCAAAAAATGGTGAAAATAACGCCTTATGTGGGCGAACGAAAAGTGTTCGTCTGGACCGTGACGACCTACGCAAGTCTGCAGCGCGGAGCAAATAAAAAAGGGAACGGATGTGGTGTGGGTGACATGGAACAGATAAGGAGTTACGTCACTGAAAACAGCAGGTTTGTCTTATCGCACACAGTACAGATATGACGGACGGATAAATCAGGGGTGTAGTCGACAGAAAGAAAAACAAGTGGTTGAAGATTGAACAACTCAAAGGTTCACCGAGAGGAAAAGCTTGCGAAATTATTGATTAAAATCATCGTAATGCTGTGATAACGGAGTAGAATACTCCAACAGTTGAAGCAATGTTTGAAGATGCGCTACAATCCAAGGTTCATATAGCCTTTTGAAAAACACATCAGGGTAGACGTAGAATGATGTTACCTACTACCAAGCACTGTGAGTGAGTAGTATCCGCATCGCACTCATCCGAACAGTCCTCAAGTTCCACTGCGATTAGTCCATATCAGGGAGGGGATGATGTACAGCCCCGCTAACAGAGATCCCCTAGGGAGAGACCACTATCCTGAAGTATGCAACAACGTTCCACATCAATCCCGACTAGTGTGCGAGGCGCACAAAAAGATAGATGGTGCTCTACTATTTCAACTTTCGGAAAAGCAACTGTGATTACAATTTATTATACCCGTTTGCAAGTCGTTCTTCCATTCTCACACGACGACCCGTGGGGTAATACACATTGCCTAACATCGGAAATTAGCCTAAACAGTGGAATTCTGACGTGTTTAAAGTTGATGAGAAAAAGTCTGGCTTTTCTCACGCCGAATAGCTTAAGCATATTCAAAGCCATGATTCGAACAAGAACGTCATCGTAACGTCACCAGTGCAACCTAGGAACCCCTAGATCATCAGTCATTATAATCTGACGGTGTTTTAAATATTCCGGGCCGAACCGCACAGTTGATTTTTCTGACGAATCAGGCCCTTGGTACAATCGCTATCCGACTTTGAGAGTACGTAGCATGTCTTCGGTTCTGATAGACTAGTCTTGGATCAGACGGCGCGTGATACCTATGGGTACTACCGCAATGGATGTATCACCGCATATAAAAACTTGTTCAAACAGCGCCGATGTGGACCATCCACATATCAGTACGGCCGACATTCATAGGATTCTTCAGACCAGTCTCTGCGCACTGTTTGATATAAATATTTGTTATGAAATGGAAAGTGAGTTGGTAACGAAATATACGGAAATAGTCAGGATACCAGGATGCGTGTGCACCGCAGAGAATAGGTCGAGCTGTAAGATTTTGTGAAGACAAGTGTAGACACGAAGAACATTTCATTTAACTTTTTGTTGGAAATAAAATCCCGCGTAGAAATTCTCTCTAAAGAGAGAGGGAGTCTCTGAGAAAAAAAGGGGGGCATTGTCGGCCGAAAACGGTGGCTGTGAGAGCGGCGGAACAGGGTGTATTCACCCAACCATGAAGTCAAATTCACTTCAATATTCCGTATCTCGATATATAGAAAAAAGAAGGTAGTGTGCGGGTGCTGACTGGAGAAACGAACTACACTAGGCATTTCTACCCAAAAAAAAGGGAATTCATAAAAAGGACCCGTCAAAAAAGCAGGCAGCATAGAGAAATGACGTTGCAGAGAGGATACATTATACAACGTAGCTCTTTTTATTTATTACACGATTTAAAAATTGAGGAAAATTTCTAATCTAGACAAATATCTTCATAATAACCTCATAGGGACATCAGCGAGACCACCATATCTCCTACTGAAGTAGTATTATGCGTACACAACTCATGCGGAATGAGATAACCACCTGAAAAACTGACGGATACTCACCCGATTTTCCATAGTAGGTATACATCGCTTGTCTCGCATCTCATATAGAACTCCGCCTATGCTAACCTCGCGCCAGTGTGCCTGAGCCGTTAACCTAAAGCAAGGACAGAGATGTGGTGCAGAAAAATTGTTTTTAAATACAACCTGAGTAAATCATAAACCAACAATTAAGTGACATAGTGAGTTTCATTTAAGGGTGAAAAATCTCAAAGTTGACGAGTGATACTATCCAATTCTCGAGTTTGGCTCTCCTGCCGTATCACTAGTGAAGAGGGTTTTCTAGTGTATCTTTGACCAATTGTTGTCTAAACATGAATTACAAATTCTAGTGGGCTTATTCATCTTGATCGATTAGGGAAGTTAGGGGGAACTGACGTTTGTTCAACCGATGGGAGCGATTGGAATACTTATTTGCCTAATGAAGGCACTCCAGTGTGTGCATCAATAAATGTGTGCCTACGAATAAACAGACATAATTTTGTAATAACGGTATTTTCCTCAGCTTAGTTCTGAGGTCTAAGCCTCCCAACCTGGCGTTCACCTCAAGAAACAACCAACAAAAGGTGCACAACGTGAGTCAACGCCCTAAACGAAGTCAAGAAGACTGGTACAGAGCGTCATTAATATAGTGTAAATGGCGACAGCCCTCTGGAAATTCTGACGCCTTCTGGATGCGGCATAGACAACCGGCATTCAGCCGATACTGGGTCATGATTGGCCGTTGAGTCCAGACTTTCGAACAGTCAGATCTTGACTTGATGCCAGACCAGCAAACTTTTGGCCAATCTTGTGCGAGATAGGCTTCTCGGCCGTAGCAGCACCTAACTGCGAGTGGTGAAGTGGGGTCCATGTGGAATTCTGCCTGTTTAAACATCAAACTCTTGTTGATACCCGAAAGCGTATTGTTCTGAGAGGCCTTGTTCAGGCTCGAATCCATCACTGCTTTTGCTAAAGTGGAATGACACGATATAGGTACCCCTACTTAGTGGTATTGTCGGCAGTTAGCCCGAGCTTAGTTTCATATTGATCGGATTTATTTAGGACGACGGTCATCAGCTGACAAGATGCTTTCAACAACACTAGTAGCTCATCAACCCTGAAAGTATAATTCAGTCTCCTTCAGTCATTGAGCTATGAACTGCGGTTTTAGCATACATTGTTTCCAGCTGCTACCACTTTGTTCATTTAAAAAAGGTGGAATAAGAAGTAAGATCTACCCATTCATTACAGGTGACCACGAAATCAGATAGTTTATTAATGAAGTGCGGTAGGCTTTGATGCAGAAGTGCCAATGACCGTGTCTGTCAGTATCACTAGCCATCGGCCTGTAGCGCCCTAGGGTCAACAGTTATCAGTCCGAGTTTATTGCCTTGTTACTCGTACCAAGCACATGGCTGCACAAAAAGAGCCCCGCGAGGTAAGCAGCCTTCCGACATACAGAGTGCGTGGGCTATCATGTACGACCAGATCACAGAAACCATCTGTCATACCTCGGTCTAATGTTCTCATCAGACCAGGGTAGTGCTTTGGATTATGGTCGCAAACCAAGAGCTCCCCCGTATCTGCTGCTGAGGCCACTCTAATAAATAAAGCATTATAGACGTATAAAAAAATTGGCATTACATCTGCATTACAGGAGTTGAGGGTTGACAAGAACCTGGCTTTCTCGATTCGCGAAGTACTCACGTGTTCAACCAGTCCGCTCGTACATATTTAGGTCGATAAACATTTCAGCAGTTTAGGGTAATGTATTAAAACACAACTGTAACACAAACGGATCACAGGTTTCAAATGAACTCCCCTCTGGTTAGAGGAGTTACTGGAAGGCATCGGAGCCACAGTTGTGGCCCCAAACTGGCCGGTCATCTTGCATCGCATACGAAGTGCATTCGACTGACTAATGGCTGATAAAACACGACCATGCATCAGCCATGAATATGATGATCCCCATTCCACAGCGGACTTTCAACGTAGCCACCAATGAAATCTCCGCTATAGTGGTGTTTGCTTTGTTCTGTTTCCAACACAAAATTCGCTGGTTGAAAATGAAAGCATTCTCACCACTATCTCAGTTTCAGGATGTTTCGGTGTAGCTATTCGATCAAATGCCCGTTGGCTTGTGCAATGAAAGGAGCACTTAGCACACCCCGATCATACAGCTCCGGTAAAGTGAGCGAGAGTGCCGAATTATTCGCTAGGTATCGTGACAACCAGCCGATGTGTTCGCGTTGTGTCAATTTCTAACTCATATATGGACGACATCAAGGTTGTAACGTTGAACTGCACATGGTGCGACCGAAGGATGAATTCGTTCGGTAGGCCACAGAAACCGTACCACTGGGCTGTTTTGAAGTTTAGAGGATAAAGAGTGGACATCATAGAAACATGCGGTGCGAGATGGCTTAGTGATTAGAGCGCGAATTCGCTGACCGGATGGTCCGTGGAGCGAACCTCTGCCTCTTGACTTCTCCTGTCTAGGCTTGGGCAACCTGGCAGTATCTGAGCCCTCGTGCTTCCTTCTGGTGGCATGGTGGTTAGACACTGAAAGCGTGCTACAGCTGAACGAATGGTCGAATGGAATGGAACGCGCCGATAATCTATCCTATGCATAGGTGAGAAAAGCTTGACTTTCCAATAGAGGTTTCGTCCTGTACGTGAAGCGCATCTACGCTGAGTAGCCGAAAAGCAGCGCACAGTTGTTTCATCACTATTAGGAATCATCCGTAATGCTCATCTCACGAAAACACAGGGTGTTCCGAACCCGCGGCCCCCGGATCATCCGGGCACGAGCGGCTGATTAACAGTGATTAGGTCGGATTTAGGATATGGCGCCATCTGACCTACAATCAAGAAATTCACACCACGTGATCAGGTGTTGATTTGCTCCTCAAGTGGCGACTTCCCGGATGAAGGTTTCACTCGCCGTATGAATTATTCTTCTTTTGAACTACTCATTGATTGTTGGTGATGCTATTTATAGGTTCGCGGTTGTTGGCGGTTAGGGGTTGTGACCATCACACATACCGGAAGGGGGATATGCTAATTCGTGTAAGTACATGAGAGGTGGTGGTTGGTTTTGAAAACGTTAGTACATGGACTAAATCCATCCAAACTAAATATCGTAAACTGCCTTTGACAGTCCACAGCATTGCTTTCCTTCAGCTACGTGCGTTTTGTGACGCCTGGAGAAAGGCCTACTTCTTGGGAGAGATCAGATTCCTCTTCTCATGACGCGGAGAGAGGCCACACGATTGGGATACAAAAAACTACACTGGTTGGATTATCCACGAAGCTTGTGATCAAGCTGATGATAGAAACTTGGTAACTCATGAACGATCAAACCGGTTTACTAGGCGCGCTACAACGATCTCGAAATCCTACCGGGAAATCCGAGTGGAAACGGCAGTCATGAGATAAATGAGCAGTCCCCTGCGAAAAAACTGTTTTGAATACGGAGGGGCTAATTCCGGCTTTCACACCCAACCACGTGACGTTCGGTCACGTACACAACGATAAATAAACAGGCATACACCCAGTTACCATGGCAACAAGTAAGTTGTGATAACTGAGCTGCAAAGTATAGCGCCAGCAAGGTCAACCGCACAGATACAAGGGGGTAAGCATCGTGATGGGAGCTGGAAAAACAGTGACAAAACAATGGTCTGCAATCACAACACAAAAAGCATGTTTTCGTACGATGTACAAACAGAGCTCGCAATATTCTTCGTATATGGAGCGTTGTCAACACAGTTACTCTGCTCAACTGCCAGTCCGGCCAGGAAAAGCTTGTGCGATCAACCCTATGGGCCATGCTTATAAAGTTCGGCAGAAAATCTGAAGTTCCCTACATTTGCACTGCTTGGCGGTAGCTCCGCTAGAGCGAGTCATCATCATCATCGTCAACTGTACTTGTCGTACAGTTGTAGCTGCTACAGTTCCGTTCACTGATGGTTTGGGGAGGTGGGGTAGGTAGCTGCGCATTGGAGGTTGGAGCTGATAAATAAGTGCGTAAATACAGCATTGTCAGTGGACTGTTAAGTGAGAGAATTGGGAAGGGAGCTATGCATTGAAGGCACTAGCTTGGATGCACGAGCGCCACTGAGGGAGCGACTGGGCCAAGTCTGACAATGTCTCTAACCAATGATGTGACCCGTCTTGAATTGTGGCTCTCCACCGGTGACTGATGGCCACGTGGTCCAACTGGGTCCTCGGTTTATTAGCAGTTGGTGGCCGCCAAGTTACGCGGTGCGAACGTTTATGTTGGAAGTTCGTACTTGCCAGAAACAGTTCGTGATCGGCACACAACTGAAGGAATCTATCTCCGTTGTCTGTGCGGTGAGCATCGACTCCGAATCGACTGTCCAAATGTGATTCCAAGAAGCTCAGACGACCTACTTGAGCATTCAAATCGCCTGCAAGGATCACAATGTCAGTGCGTTTTGCCTGGCGAATGAGCCCAGATAGCTCTCGATAGAAAGTATCCTTCTCCGCATCAGAACTGCAGTCCGTTGGGGTGTAAGCCCACACTACAAACAGGCATCTCTTTCTATGCCGAGGCATTAAGCTTGATTGAACTGGATAAACAGACGGCCCAAAGACGACTATTCACTGGGATCCAATCCAGCAAAGCAAGTTCAGCTCTAAGGCTGAGTGCGACTCCCACGCCATTTATTCCACGAGTATCGTTTCTGGGCCACCGGATACACGGAGGGAGAAATGTGAAAGAGCTGAGTCCATCTTTGCCGTTCTGAGATGCATAACCACGCTCAGGTCTTGTATGCGTGTTTCGGAGACACAGCATACATCAATTTTAAGGGAGTACAAGATTTCGTTGCCTGTTTGCCAATTTGACATAGAGTACGGACTTTAAAAGCTCCCATATAGAAATGATCTTGCGGATTTAGAAGGGTGTCATTTTGTTTATTGTTAGTAAGCAGCGAGGAGCATAAGGTCCTCCGGTCAGATACCTGAAAGTCAAGTCACTCAGTGACGTTTGCTTGTGTGGTGGGAAAGGGTTATGATTGAGGTACCCGACCTTGAGTCTAGAGCGAGTGATGAGAGTTCAACTGAGTTGACAGTACATTGAGTACAAACGACCCAGAGAAACAGTACATACATAATGAGAGCTACCTGCACCCCCCCCCCCGCGGAGGTCTCACTTGAGAAGGCGACCTAGTCAGATGTGCTCGTCCAAATGCCGATGAGAATTTCTCCAGGTCGTAATGCACTACTCGTAAGTTTGCTGAAATTTTGTCAACAGCCCAGTTATTTGGATATCACCTCTCTTATAGTTATTGTAAGAGGAAAAATCCCCCCAGTTTCGAATGTGCATTTGCGCTTCCTAAGGTGAGCTACTTTGTTGACATCTAACCATTGAGTGCTAAGCAGTAAAATCGTCATTTGGCTATAAAACCTTTTCGGCTGTCATGTCACTCAAAGGAAGCACGGGGGCTGAGACTGTACCGAGTTGCTCAGGCCTACGCAGTAGCAGTCGAGATGCAGAGGTTGGGTTCGAACCACGAATCTTCCGATGCGCGCCTCGACCACTGAGCCATCTCGAGCTCTGTTCTGAAACACTTTTGATAATCTGTTGTAAGATTACCAAGGCAGTCCAAATTTCGGGGAAGGGGAAACTGTCTCACTCGCTTCAGCTCTCAACTCGGAGCCCTAGGAAACTGTTTACCAGACCTCCATTCATTGATCCTCGTCATATGGGGGTCTCTGTGAATGTTGGATGGCATCCTTCAGTATGTCCCACTAAGTTACTGAGATGCGCAAGCAGTCGCTTGACGATGAGATCCAATCCCTTTGGAACGAAAGAAGAGGATAAACAGACTGACATTTAATCAATCTAATCTTGGGGTTGTGAAAAATCTTCCCAATTGCTAAAGATGAGTCTCTGAGTCAGCACGTTGCTCCTCCTAACCGGATCAATATTTGTAGAGATCTAATTATATGTAGTGTTCTTGACATTTAAGCATGCACACGTGTACATGCAATAGGGCTGCAATCGAAGATCCGTAGCTACCATGTGTTTCGGTGTATTCTCAACCCTGCCCATTCCGATCCGCAAGCTCGCGCATTAACAACTGAGCCATCTTGAGCTCTAAGATACACCTCAACCGATTTGTGAAACATTAACGCACTATTCAGAAGCGGAATGGGAAACGAGAAAACATAAACCGTCGAAGACCGAAACTGGTCCTGATTTTATATGTGTTGCCTTGGAGAAACTATTTATCAGCCCGGATGATCATTCCATATCACCATACGGAAGGAGCATGTAGGTATGCCCTAGTACGTGCCGATTAAGACCGATCGAAAGAGCTTTAAGAGAATTACACCATGCAGTCAGACAGTACGGACATCTGAAAGGCGACCAGAATACTCCTGCTTGGGAAAACACATGAAAATCTTCTTGAGAATACATCTAACCACTTGTTTAATGCTCAGGTCAGTGAGGTCGGTAATTTAGTCACATACATCTCACAAGAACGTACGAATACGCAAGCTAGCGCTGTATTAATCGGCAACGTATCCAACAAACAGAAAAATATCCCAGCAACTGAAATCAGTGGACCTGACAATGTATCTCCTTTGGTTTTAACGTATTTTGCCGCAGAAACGTTTGTTCCCATCTGATATCTCTTTCAGTGCGTTCTTAAATTGCCGAACATCACCTACGGGTGGCGCGTACTAAAATCCCCTTTCGTTTACGATTGTATCAAACGGGGACAGGCTGGTGCTTAGTGCCACGCAGTCCTCTGCTTCTAAAATATGTATACGTTTACCTACAAACCACAAACGTCAATCACTGATGCGGTAGCATTTCTAATACGTTCAGATTTATACCCAGCAAGTTGGACAAGTGTCTATTACGACTGAAACACCTTTAGCTACGATTGTCTGACTGGACCGACATATGACTCAATACTGAGACGTGACGCCACATCAAAAACACCACAGCTGCCTGTTATCCACAGTCAAGGCTTCACTTTCGACCGAGATACAGCTGCTTGTAGTATGATTGCTCAAGACACAGATGCCCCCTACCCCTGGAAGTTCCTGGACAGAGTTAAAGAACAATCACGTCATCTGCGTAATCGGACAGCGATATTTGCTTCGAGAACGAATCGAAAGAAGGGCAAGTTTGAATACGATGTTACGATGTGCGACGTTAGATCGTACCTCATAAATACATTGAGTAGCAACTAAATGACCGGAACTTGACTAGTAATGGAGAAAGCCTACTTAGTGGAAGAATGGTTGGCAAGATCCATTGACTAGCCAAAAAACACCGAATGATTTTTCCCGACAAAACATTCGTGAATTGTAATTTTATTGCAGTTTCCATGGGTTTTTCTTTTTCTGTTCCACGTACTTTCTTTAAAATCTCATTGCAAGGGAATTTACCAACAAGGCCGCTGATATGTTTTCTCGCCCGTGCTTCTTTGTTTTGCATCTGGAAAGACACAAGTAACTAGCCAGTCACTTTTTCTAAAATAATACTTGTTTTCCTGGCAAAAGAAACTGCCGCAGTGCCTGAGAAGTAATTGAACGGAATGACCAACAGGGAGGAAAGACTTCGAGCAGTGACCCAAAGATTATTGGTGAACACAGGGCATGATGGAAAACTCAGCACTGGCTGAGAGGTCAATGCCGAAAACGGTATTTAGCACATGTATCCTACGTTCAGAGCCAAAACATTCGTTCATCAGAAGAGGCGGCACCTTGGATGGGCCATCAACTATCAAGGAGATAGCTAAACTAAGCAACGCCACATACAGAGGAACCCGATCTGAAGAACAGGACTCGAACCCGACAATCTGCCATCCGACCAAGTTTGCAAAATCTGGCTGAAGAGCGTTTCAAAGACTTGCACAGAATGAAGCGTGCTCAACCAATGATGTAGCAGAAACATTCCGAGACGGTAGAATTAAATCCTATCATCAGCTTATAAAATAACGTTAATTACGATGGTCATGCAACCTTCTTCGCAGCCCACATAACGACACTGTGAGATCAGCCTTCACTTCCAGTGTTCATGTTGTCATCAGGGCCAGTTAGAAGCCCGAAGGATTTTTTAATTTCGATGTTTTTCAACCGATTGTATAACGTATAAAGGCTGGCTCTATCAAGTGACGACTCCGTACATTAATTAAAACTAATCGATGGGCCACTACAGATTTCAATCGCTTTGAAGCTTCTCACAAAGGTGTCGTCCCCGAAATGCAAACAGTCGCGTTCCGGAGAACATCGTATTGAAAAGACCAGGTGAACAAGTTATTTCAAGTTCAAAGTGAAAACTAGCCGTTTACGGTCCACGCAACCTGATTCATCTTAGATTGATGAATTAAGCACGGACTGCCAAGCATCGGCGTGCATCAGGCCAAACCGTAACTAGACAGTAGACGGCCAAAAATGTAAGGTTACGAGCCCATCGCAATCTGATGACATTGGGTCAACTGAGATCAGAACAGCAGGGAAGTTTGATTCGCTTGAAAAACCCTTCCGTTACTCTCCACCTAGTCTCCTTCAGTAACATGGCTTGTTTGGGAAGGTGTTCATTCAGAAATCAGCACTGGATACTATTTGAAAGGATTCATCGGCCAGTAGATTAAGCGACTATAGTCAAGGTTTCAAAGTATTGTGCTGTCTCATGAGTTCCAACAAACTCGGAATTGATACACAGTGAACTTTAAGGATACCATCCAATGACAGCAATACACCAGTAGTACCTACTGGCGTTTAGATGTCATTCAACCATAAGGTAAAAACATTTGGTAAGGAACTGAGAAAAAGAGGAAGGGTTGGGACTGAGTCCCATGTCTTCAAGGGGAAGAACGATGAATAAGGTGCCCACACATTTCGACAGCATTAAAATAAAGACATTTGAGTACCACGTCGAATTAAGGCACCATCAGTGAGGTTGATCCAGCGTCCTTCGCGAACCTCACCTGACAAGCTAAACGCACATTGACAGTTGAAGTTCAACTAAGCATCCCGGCTAGGGAATGATAGCACGCGCATCATGTCTTGCGTGCAGGCAGGATCGCGTGTGCCCTAGTCAGGAAGGCGCATAAATAAATTTCGATCGCAATATGAGTAGTGATTTGGAAACTGCGAGCCAATCAGGGTAAAATATCGGCACAATTGTCCAACCCCTAGTCGTGTTGTTACTAGAAAGTAAGGCGGTATACAGCGAGGACGAGTTACTTAGTGCGATATGCTAACAGTTTCCGGCTTAAACGTCTGACAGAACATTTCATACGTGCGGCAAACTCTGTCACACAAATGCATATTTCTGTCTGAAGAACAAATAATTTTTGCCAACGGCCTTTTCAACACCACACAGAACGTTGACTATTTGAGTCTAGGCGACGGAGCTTATGGCTCGCTATGCAACAGCCAAACGGCGTAGAATTTCTGAAATTGATGCTCACACAGATGTATTCACTAAAGCACTTAATTTGGTGACATGCACTCTTTATCTTAGTCCGGATCGCAAGTTTCTACGAACAAGTGAAAAACGGACTGGAGTGATGAAAGCCCTAATGTCACTGCGGGTGGACAAGCCGGCGACTGTATTCTAACCTCAAGAATGATAGTTAGAGGACGTCCTTTTTGTATCACTCATGAAGCCCCGAACACAATGCATGTGGGAAAAACCCTGAGCTATCTCATGAATACATGCAATTTAACCAAAATTTATCACAAGCAACTATTCTGCCTCCAGAAGCTGGAAACCACTTGGGGCTAATTCGTCACAGGACAATTGGGAGATGTCATTTTTGTTGCAAGTGACAGTGTGTGTGTATCACCTAGTTCGAGTGATAAGATGGCGAGATACAAGAGTGACAAGAATGAGGATGAGACGAGACATGAGAAGACTTACTGGTCATCTTTTGGATTGAGAAAACGCCCATGGAATAGGGGAGGTAGAAAAGACGGAGAACGAACGGTTAGGTTTCTGCAAACATGCAGTCAACTGATGAAAAAGAGATATTTAATATTAGCAATTATATGTGGGCCTTACTAAAAACGAACGTTTGTCATAGAAAAAACCAAACCACGGTTTTTATCATGCTTTGTGCTGACCCGTCAGTTCTTCCACGACCGTGCCTTTTGGGAACCGTTGAGTGAATGAAAAACAAGAGAGATTTCAGACCAGTCAAGGCCTGAATGGTTGAAAGGCAAGACAAACCGAAGGAACCATGCCACATCGTGAGTTTTCAAAGGTAGGTCACTCCCTCCAAATCCTGCAACCATATCACCTAATTTTTTACGTGTACAAGTTTTCAAAACAAAATCAAACTGTTCACACTGACACTAGGCAAATTTTGGAGTTGTCACAGGAATTGCAGATCTGTGCTCCGATCGATTGGAAAAAAGGAATAAGGACAGTCTTGAAAGTGGTGTCGGGCGGAATTTCATTTAGAACCTTCCGAAATCGGGGCACAGTGTTTTCAAAGGAATGTCCATGGTCAGTATGCAAGAACTCAGCTGATAGAAGGATAACTCGACTTTAGTTGATGGTACTGGTGGTTGCGAGACCTGATGTATGTGAACGGGTTATCCAACTAATCTTCATGTCGCTGATGTCTTAGAACCACAGCTTGTATGGGTTGAAATTCCATAAGGAACAGGTACAGGAGGTGAGCAGTTGACGGACCAACATGAAATCAAACGAGGTGGACGCCTGTTGAGATCCATATTAGCCCGTTTGGTAGACATCGGTTATCAAGTTAATTCCAAAGCGGCTCTCAAAGTCGTGGGCCGCCACACAAAACCAAAGGATGCAAACAATGACTGCCAGGGACAGCCGAGGCCAATGGTATATGCTTATACAAACCGCCAATGTGCCTTCAGAGGAAACGTATGAAGGCTTCGCTGTTGCACTGGCCTAATATAGCCCCTACGTTCTACGTGGACAACACTGTGGTTGAAAGACAAAGGGTACTACTGGATTGGACAGAAATGGCTGTAACGATCCAACAACCCCCATATTCTCAGATCCATTGTAAATGGTCCCAACGTTCTGTCAGTTTGTGTGGTTGCGTTCCGAAGACTCTATACTGCTGCCTAACTACTCGTCTTTTCACATTTTTTCAACTGCAAGAGATTGATGATGCAATTATGGAAAACGTTGCGTTTGCTTGCAACGGAAAACTGAAACAATTCAGTCATTAAATTTTGCACCTCTCTTAGATTCTTGGTGTTACTACTGACACGTACGACCGATAGGTGCCCGCATTTATGAGAGAACGATCACGTACTTGATTGGTTATCGCTAAGTAACGAGGTCATAAATAAGGAATGACTATAGCTGTTTAATCCGAACATACAAAGTATTGCATCCTGGTTCTGGAATATTCACGAGAAGACTGCAGATCATAGTGACTGAGTTCCAGAAAAGCCCGAATCCGCAAGACTCCATAGCGACCCGAGTAATCGGATCAACGTATGAAACTGACTTTGTAAAACAGACTGGTACAGTTAACTTAAGTTCATTGAATTCCAAATACAGCTGTTTCCACCAACATGACCTGTTTTACAGTTTGGTTTATCTAAGATGAGATGGCTCAAAGGTTAAGGTGCGAACTTACTGACCGGAAGATTCGTGCTTCGAACCCAACCTCTGCAACTCGACTGCTGTTGCCTAGGCCTGGCAGTATCTCATCTCTCGTGCTTCATTCAGGTGGCACGGCAGCTAGGCACCGAAACGGTGTTACAGCTGAAGGATTTTTTTACCTACGGTTGCGCGATGGTTTACGGTCTCTTCAGACCCTTAGGGCGTCATTTTGCTTCAAACCTCTTGCTCTCGGTAGTGTCAGGACCGACCTCACTACCACATGCATTGTGAACGCATAGTGAATGTCTGTACTGTCCAGAGTAAGGACCGTAATAGTTATGAGGATATGACCGCCTGTGAGTGTCGGTTCGATTAGTAATCTGAGCGCTCTTCATAAGTAAACGCGACGAAACTGACGGGCATAATTTACAACAGAAAGTGTACGGAGTAGGAAAAACCGACGTGGACTCATTTGGTTTAAATGGGATCAGGATGTAATAATGCTTTCTTTCCTCGAGGATGGACTGAATTCGATGAGCTAATACAGCAGCATGTTGAGTAACACTCCGAAAAGCAGACAATTACGGTCCATACCAGTGGTAAGTTCTTCGTAGGGGGGACTGTGATCTATCTAAACCCTATTTAAGTGCTGTCATTTATCGTACGAGTTCTTTGGCCGCAGCTGGTAACGTCAAGCAAACTCCGGACCGGATATATCACTACAGCGCAACAAATATCAACGGTATTAGACGTAACCAATGAGAAAACAGAGTGCACAGACATTACGCACCCTCGGAGAAATGAGCGCGTACAAGTTGGAGTGGCTGGGTTGGAAATTTTTGTTTGTTTCGCGATGCTCATAATATAACTTGTTTTCACCGGGTTATCGATCGAAAACCTAACAGGCGTACCGTCCTTTGTAAGATTTACTGGAATGAGACGAGACCACACAGATGGGCGCACAATGGAAGTGGAGTGTAAATCACTGAGTAAACACATGACTGTTGAACGGCAAAAAAAAGGATACGGCGCCTTTCGGTCACGTCGGCTGAAGTTTGCTAGTCGGTGAATTTTCTCATCGCATACTGCAGTCAATTCAACTATATTGGAGAACAATGAAAGCAAGCGCCTATTAGGGTTGAAGAATGCTAGTTGAGATGAAATTACGCAACATGCAACTGCACCAAAGGGATAAGGAACGTACTGTCATTGTCATTCAGTGAATCGGAGGTGATCGAGTCGGGATCGGCGTGAAAGACCATTACACCATTCGTGGTCAAGCCATCCATGTGACCCTGGGAACGCCATTTGACTGCTAATTCCTATATAAAAAAGGATGATGGGGTATTTTTAAAATTCCCGGTTGGTGGGGTGATGTTTACATCTGGATAGAGCGACGTGGATGGATCATAGCACCCATAGGTATCCACCATGACATTATACACATGCATGGACCGACACAGTATCAACTGATATAATTCTGGCCTCGTTTTATGGTGCGCTGCCTAAATAACACTGTTTCTAACTTTTTTCATGAATTTTTCCCCAAATCCGGTAACCATCTGGTGACTGAAGTCAAACTATGCTGACAGGTTCAGAATCAGTCTACAACTGTCTCTTCCTTGTTGGGGATCGTCGGTGGTACCTTATGAATGTTGAGAGTGACTTGAACGTACAATCTTCCAAGGTGTATGAAAACTACATAACTCAGCCACAGGCTGCTGATCAGCGGTGTGCGATGCTTTTCAGTTTCTAAACAGTGACGACATTCTGGAATGAACGCCAGATTCGAAGCTTCAGAATAGCCCAGCTGACCCGCCGAGCAAAAAGCACCGATGTTGTTATCCTTGACGGTGGCTAGATGGCTCATTGTTAGGAGCGCGAATTTACTGACCGGAAGGTCCGTGGATCGTACCCGATCTCTGCATCTCGACTACCCATGTCTAGGGTTAGGCAACCTGGCAGTATCCCAGCCCCCATGCTTGCTTCGGGTGGCATGACAGTTAGGCACCGAAAGAGCGCTACAGCCGAACAGTTTATATATATATATATATATATATATATATATATATATATATGTAGTGACCCTTGATTNGGCTGAGTCCTGTGGGAGCAAATCTAGATGGTCAGTACTGACCGATCAGTTGTGCGCTGACCAACAGCTGTTTCTCGCCAGCATGCTCGCACCGTGCTACCTGGTGTCAAACAAGTATCAATCGGTTGTGGATTTAGTTTAATTGTGCGGCTATCAGATACTGATAGACAGTCACAGCTCAAGACTACCGTCCCTTCCGGAGCATGCTACAGTACGTGTGTTCTGTCTCTCTCATGGCCTCCTAGGTCAACAAAAAATACGCCAATCGATCAACTCGGAGAACCACCGCAAAACACCAGCACCGATCAAAGCTAGCGCGAAAACTCCCCGTAACTGACCAGTACCATAATGATGAATTGCTGTTGTAAAACTAGGTGGGATCGAATCCGGACCTCATTGTTTCAGGCGAGCTAGTCAATGTGATATCATACAGCCGGGAAAGATGAGAACAGCTTCTTCAAATCTGAAGTATCGATGACACAGAATTGAGATTTGCTTATCTAAAATATCCCCTACTGTTACATGGATCAGAATCGAATCAATAATGTTGGCTTAAGTCGATTGACTATTGACGTGATTCACCGATGGTAGGTGCATTGCTCACACCCCACAGGTTGCGCTGGCTTGGTCACGTGCTTTTGTACGCCAGCATGTCGACTTCCCGAATAACCGTCCTGGCGCGGTCATGTGGAGAGTAGAAGCCGTCAGATCGTTAATTGACAGTAAAGTAGGAAAGCCACACCCAACAAGATCTGATGCATTATCAAATGCCGTCTCCCTGAATTGAGACGGAATACATCAGTGGTTAAAGATAGAGACGGACGTGGTTCAGTCACGAACACAATGGCGTCCAGGTATTCGAGCTATTACCAACAATGAACAACTTTCCGTCCCCAGCACCACACCAACAACAGGAGCCCATCCCTACCAGTTAATCCACCGTTCAAGGATACCGGCTCTTGCCTTCAACGCGTAGCTATCCCCTCCCGTTTTCCAGAATGGTGAAATAGGCTGTGGGAGATAGAATGAACCATATTGGCATTGCTGATCACCTTTCTACATGTTTCCTGCTTGATTACAGGTTGCACTTGGTTGCGCACAGATTGCTGTACTCTTGATCTGAACTGGAGGGCTCAACCCATAACAAATACCAATGGAACTTCGACGATAATGTTTCTAACATGCAATCCTCTTCAGGCCATGGTGTCTACGGAAAGTGTCGCACTCTCTTCTGGTCCAGTGGCTGGGAAGGCCAGAGAACACGCTAAAGTTCCCAACGTAAGAAGCTCCTCATCAGTTCTTGGGGTGCTTGTGCTCTACTTGAGGCTTCTAGCCAAGGAATCTGTATGCACAGTCTTTACGACTATCGATCAGATATCGGCAGTCTTTTGGAGGTCCGGTTACCTAACTGTGGTACACGACAAATCCAGGTTCCTGGATCCGACGCATCTTACTGGCTTTGTCACAGTAATCCCGAGGGCAAGTAGATCGATCACTCACGATCTTCGGGCTACCGTAAGTAGCATAAATCCATTTCAACCACTTCTTACGAAAACACCTGCATCTCCCCAACCCAAATGTACGCTTCCTCCTGATATCCTCATTACTTCACACCCAACGGGATCTTCTTGGTCGCGCACAAAATGTTCAGGATCCTAGAATTAAACTTCAGTAGTATGGCAGACAACCGTCCCGATCATTACAATTCGTATCGTTCAGTCAACTTCGTTTTGAGTAGCACTGGCAGTTCAGACGATCGGTTGATCCTGTCAGAACAGGAAAGTACCCTAAAGTGATTGGACATGCCGATAGCGGTTGTGTTTAAAAAGAAAAAGAAACTACATACGGATGACCAAACAGCACGTCCACAAAACTTGTACATGATCGTCTAGCTATCTCGTAACATATATTTCCGAATATATCAGACATTATAGATCGACCGACAATTCTCCTGAGGACAGCTCGTGTAATGATAAGCTTACGACAGTGTACAACAGGAACTAATTTTTACACTATGCGTTTGTTGAAATAAATTCGACAAACATAGGAAGCTAAAACGAAAGTAAGGTCTACAAGTCTTACTCCTAGAACAATGTTTTTCGCAGCATCAAACCCTGCAGCGTAGATGCGCGCCGTGTGAGGTGGTTCGCGGTCGATGTGAATACGGCACGCGAAGCGAGAAACGGCACTTTCAGGGGGAGATGGGCAGTCCTGGAGTGACTTGCCGTTGACGGGTATGGCATCGGCGGCGGTCGATGAGTCTACAGGTTTTTGAGGTACAGTTGGTCGTCGATCGTAACGTTTCCGAGAGGAGCCAGAAGGACGTGGTTCCTGGACAACAAAATCAATGTGACTATTCGTGCTACGCCCAATCTGTACAAAAGCAAAGTGGAATTAAAATTGACTTGACCGCATTATTTTTGTCAGTTGGCTGCCGTAAATAGGTATACGGAAGATTGAAATAAAAAGCCGAGGAACAGAAAGTCTTTCAGCCTGTCATTTATTGAGCACGACTATCGTGCAATCTGTAGAGAGCACCTGGTTTGGTGCTTTGGCGGTGATTCCGCTTGGATAGATACGTTGTTTGCGTATAAATACGAAAGCTGGTAATTTGGGGGGTTTATCACGAAACATCGAGATCCTAGACTGGAACACTTGAATAGGGGCAGTAGGAGGCCGTTCGATTTTACTCAAATTTTTCAGTCTTTGTGGATCTTCTTCGTTAGGCTCTCAAGTGCGCGACTAGTAGAGTCATTCCGGTCACGTTGACTGGATTCTAGTAGTTTTTATTCGGGATGGATAAGTTCAGTTGCTCTTCTAAACAGTTTTTGACAGCCATCGCATTCGACCAAAATGACGGCTCACTAGCCACGATGATGTATACTGCATTGAACAAGTTGGGACGGCAGACATCAGTTGGGTATCACCGCAAAAATGAAGAAAGATGCATCGAAAGCATTTCCACGTACGTTGCCGAATGAGACGTATGACTTTTCGCCCCCAAAAAACCCTATCTCCAGCCCCTCCCCACACCCCAGTGTAGTTGCAACTGAATGGACCATCCACAGTTTCACTCTGATAATAACCTCGTACCAAGAATGTGCTGAGAAAATGTCATTCTCATTCTGGGATGTCCGTTGGCATTGCTGATAACACGCCAATCTAAGCTTCCGGGAAGGAGCCCACCACCCTCTACTACAGAACAGACCACAAGCGTTCACCGTCTAACCCTCTAACTGCATCGCCGTGCTCAAGCTATTTGCATAGGAATGCCGTTGTCACTGTCATACAGTTCATGGTATTCATTCATGTGACGTTTGAATGAAACGTCCTAGTTACTGGCAGAAAGCGAGTCACACTGCGAACACATCGATGGTGTGATCGATTTCATGACCAAATTTGGTCGCACCGCACTCGGACAGACCGAAGACAGCATTTTCACAGCCTAGTGGAACATACAAAGGTGAAACTCAAAATAGGAGGTTCCCAAACGCTTGGAAGTGACCATAAGAACAGTAGGAAATCGACAGAAGTGATTAGCATGGATGGCTACAACAAAAGAATTAAACATCACGATAGTCCGAGGAAGGCTAGCGACAGAATGTTGGATTCAAGATACAACTCGTCCCCGGTTTTTCGTCGGCAATCGTTATCTAGGTGTTTCCCGTTGAACCATCTTTTTGAGTCTTAGGATCCGATTACTTGTGGTGGTAATGTCATTAGAAAGTCTCAGCTTTACGAATTCCGAAATCAGCAATATAACCAACAAAACTCTCACCATGTGGCAACTGGTGGTTTTACGTTGCTAGCATGATGGCTGGCGACGAGTACGTAGAAGTACTTTCAGTGGGACGAAATTAAACCATGATCTACAAAAACAGTTCCACCAAACGGATCTTTATATCTAGACGTAACACACCGAAAACTCTTTGAACGAACCATCATAAACGAGAGATCCATCTGGATGCAGTGGAGCCTCCTGTCAAAACAAAAATTAATGTGCAAACCGGAGTATCTATCGAGATCTAAACATGATTTCAACTGCCTTATAGTTCGCATTCGCTTGTACAAGCCTAGTGACACAAAAATCACTCGTAAGCGAGTCCAAGAGGGGTTTCAAGACATATTCAAACAAGACAACTATGGGGCCCAGTAATCCTCAAAGGAAACCGACGAGGAACCTCTAGAATCCAGGCTGTGAGCGATCGTAGCCAATAATGGCTCAAAAATTCACTTCGACAAGGGCAGCATCACGATGACTAGGGGTGGAAGTTCCCGTTAACAAGGCAGTCTTGCTTGCGATTGAAATACCAGCGAAGTAGGGCTAGTTGTTTTGCCTACCAAACCAATACGAAAGCTCCAAGTACTAAAAGTTCCTCTTTGAGGAGAGAGCCTATTACGCAGTTTAATGATGGGAAGGCAAATAGGGTCGTATCCGAAACCATTTTAGAGTAGGTGATAGCACACACACAGTTGGATTTTTGACACCATACTCGACGGTTGCAAAAAACGTTCCTCTTCAGTGAGGATCCTCAAACCTTCAGCTTTTGTCTACGGAAGATACATCAAGGTAGGCACATGCATGACGATGTAATATGACAAACAGTCGCACGTGGGGGGTGTGCGAACAGGATGAGATAGAACTTACCTGGAACATATCTGTTTTAGGATCGGGAATGTATTCAACAACAACTGTTTCATGCCTTGAGAGTGTATAGGATACCGAGTGCCTCGAATGACTTCGAACCGCCTGCGGTCGGGTAGAGATTGGACGAGGGAAGCAGTGAATGTTCTTACACATGGCACATAAAGAAGGTGCAAGGAAGAATCAGAATGAAGTTGGAAAACAAGGATAAGCTGACAAAGTTAACAATACCTTGAACACCGCGGATGTGATCAAGATCGGTTCAACTCTTCCTGGGTCCACAACCACCACATAATCGGAGCTGAAACATCTGACTCTCAAATGAGAACAGACATCTTTTTCTGAGGTGAGCTTGTCTACCCGTAGCAGAGAAAGCTTGGTAAGATTTTCATGCCTACGAATGCGTTTCCTTTGCGAATCACTACTCCCAACCAGAAGTGATTCGCATGAGAAACACGCAATTTCAGACTTTACCGAGGAAATTTTTCGGCTGCGAGGACTACGGGCAGTGTCCATAGGTAACAACACAGCTTGCTCTTTAGCCAACGGCTCAAACAAACATTGGATTCGGATATTCAAAGACGTTTTGCTAGACCAACATCACCTTGGAAGCCTTGTCCGAGTTTGGTCGGTTAGCTGGGTCATCATTAGCAGAGATACCAATATTAGCGTTGATACCGATGTTTCACTGCTGGCCGGTTTTAGAAGGAAGAGGCACCCTCGCTACGGGTGAGCTGATCATGCTCCGAAGCAACATAGTACCAAGGCAACGAGTTGAGACTGGTACGTGGCATGTGCATTGATACAAGTATTGGTACGACATAATGATGGTTCTTTTTTCAGTGTCCGTCATTCACGATGTTACAAGTTGGTCCGTTTGGAATCATATGGTCTCTCCTCACTTTAAAGATTCACCACCGTGCATCTTTCATGCTTTGGAATCGAGGTATTTTCGTCTAACATGCCGCGACATGAAGTACAAAAGGTCAGGCTGTTAGCTGAGGTATCACAGGGAGTATGCTAGGCTTCGGATTCAATGCCACATGTTAGATACTTTCCGCAGGATAGTTTAACTCCGCTCGAGACGTCTCTAACTACCTGGTGGGAAGCGGTTGGTCTAAGTGAAACCCCAGTCTGGACAATATCTGGACATATGGGCGGATAAATACCCATCCGCAAATTAAGAAGGCATTACCGGGGATTCAAGTGAAGATGAGCCGAATCTGTTGATTCTGTAGGATTCCCTAAATGAATGTGCAGTAAAATGGCTGACCAGGAGAGTTGACCATCCCTATAAGCAGTATCGTATAAGGGATTGTGCTTTGATATTTTGAGTATTCCTTCAACTGACACGTGAAGCACTGAATGAGAGAAGAGAAACGAGGGATTCACTTGGAATTCGGCCGTGTTATCCGTTAAAACCATCGTTTTTAAAAACAGTTCAGAAGGTATGTTGCACCACTAATGTGTCTGTTGCTGAATATCAACGTAGGAAGACATCCGGCAAAATGTTGCAGCTGCAAGCCAAAGTTTTCGGTATTATTACGAGGTATTTTGCTTATTCCCGGCTCCTTGTACCAGTCATTCGCTTATTATTGGGAAGCTGTGAGCATTGGCCGAAACACACTCATTTGAAAATAATTCTGGTGTTAACTGGAGGTTCAGATGAATCTCTCGTTTGATATTTTTCAAGTGAATGTGTTGGACAGAGAGCGCCTTGTGTTTAACTTGGCACAACAATGGAGATATTGTGGTAGTAGACTACCGAGGAGTTTTTAGCAACCTTGTGGGTGATGTATCATGTCAAAAAAAGCTGAGCATGTTGCAGTTGTCCCTGATCAATGTGCCCAAGCTATCATCTTTCACGTGATTTCAGCAAATTCAAAGACCCAACCGCCACAGTATCGGTGGTAATGGTAATCTCTAACCGTATGGTGAAGGCGATATCTTACTAATGTTTCCAGCAAAAATAACATGTTGCTTCAAATTCTGAGTCCAATTCGAACTTGCTTGCTCGCAAATTTACGAGGTAGGGAAAATGCTGAATGTTCTTTACGAGATACAGGGCCACGCACAGGCAGCCATGATTTATCTCCTCTGTCCGGATTAACGAAGTGCTTCTAAAATCCTCATGAGGGTTCTATAGACGGGTTTATGGAAGAACAGAAGGTGCCAGAAAATGCTGGATATGTCTTATTTAAAGGCTTTTTATTAAGTAGTTTCACTCAATGCCCCCTAAGGTCAGTCTAGATTTATGTGCGTAGTTATACAAACAAACCTACATTTATGGTGAATTGTAGAATCTACGATAGTTTCTATTCCTTGAATATTGCAATTTTCGTGAGTTAGGACTTGGGTTTCACCTGGTTTTTAATCCATTGACTTTCAAACAAGTAGACGAGGAACTATTTGCTGTTGGGTCCGAAGTTATCAACAAAAGAAACTGTGATCAGGGAAGACCTATAAAAAACGGAATCTAGTTTACAGGAAAAACCGGAATTTTGAGCGCGAAATATGTCGACTGAGAGAAGAATCCTTGCTCCACCGTGAAGCAAGCTCGCTAGTGGCAAATTAATCATCGCTTATTCTCCTTCTATACAGGCTTTATTACTGACGAGTTTGATACCAGTAAAGCGATACCACGCGCCTATGTCCATTTGTCCGTCATGGTTTAATCACAAATACCGGTGAGAGTTCTGACAACGTTGAAGTGGTTCCTAATGGCCTCAAGCAAAGTTAAACGGCAGCGAAACATCGGTTAGCGCAACCCCCTGATGTTTGGCTTTTCAAAGCTATGAAGAAGTTAGCAGTTTTTTCGCAAATAGGGTCCGGTGAACTTTGACCTTGACCTTTTGTGTCCCATGAATGGAGAAGGAAGATCACCATGAGGAAAGCGGAACAGACACAAATCACGTCACATGATTTTGTTTGTCTGGTATGGTAGGAAGTGGAAGAGCTTCAAATTGAAGGCAACAGCATCATTACTGCTACCGCAGATATGGACATGCAGATTGCCCAAGAGAAGTAGCATACTGTCTCCATACTCCCATCGCAGAGAGCGGTATGGCATTACCTCCAGACTACCTCGTAATACGACTTATCTTCGTCTGAGCTCCTGGCACAACCGGACCCGAGGAAATCAGTTCAAACCAACGTAGCCCGCAGGATCATTGCAGCAGTGAAGCACGGCAAGGAAACGCATGTTGTCAGAGGGCAACTACGAGCAGAGTCTCGGAAGAAAACCAGACTGGAAGTTTGAGTCACAGGCTAAAAGTAGAGTGCCTCAAGCAAGCCCATTTTGATGGCCTAGGCGACCAAAAAAGTCATTTCGCTAATTACCCTCTGCCAATTACCCCCTTACCACTTGATAAAAGTTCCGCGCATTCAGGGAATAGATACAAACTGGCTGACATGTTTCAGGTGAGAAGCAACCAAGTAAAAACATCCCAATGGGCAGAAATCAAGCTAACGAAGGGAATGTGGTTGAAAAAGAAATGGCGGGCTGTAAAAAATGGAGTTAGTGATAATGACTCACACACGAGTCTCCTGGTTCCAAAACGCGGTTCACTGGTCCAGGTCGTACACCATTGGCCACCGGTCTCTTGTAAAGCGCTATCTTTGATTGTCGTCGAGGATCACGAGTGGAGAACTTGCAAGTGCCGTTGAAACTGTTACAGGGTCAAACAAAACTTAGCAGATGAAAGTCCAGTAGGAATACAAGTATATATATATATATATATATATCGGTGCCTTCATTGTCATTCTAAAGATGACAATATCATTAACAAACTGATAAAATGTCGAAAGATTTCGGCACTTTCTATTCTTGGCCAGCAATCAACTGACGGTGCACAATAAATACAGACACCTGTGGTAATTGCAGTTGTTATGAGGTGAATTAGACTCACAGGACACTCTTCCTTCGAAGTATCCAGTATAGTACATCAGAATTACCAAAAAGCACGTTTTGAAAGAGATTAAAGTATCAACGTCATACTGACTGTTGATAATGCAGCGGTCAATGGCGTTTTTGTTGTCAGTTTCTATCCACACTGCTTAGATGAGTATCTGAAGGTGTAGACACCTCGGAATGGGTGTGATATGCTCGGCCAATACTCTTCCCCATCCATTTATTCTTTTCTTCACAATAAGGCTTTCAAACGAATTGTGATTGTACGGCAGCTGCGAACGGGATCTACAACTTGCATTCTTTACTATGCAACGGATAATTGAAGTGTGCCCTAGAAGCGATGTTAAAGCAGTGACCTAGTTTGACTGGTCCCGTCAGATTGCGTTTACGGCGGTGAATCATGCCATTCTGATAACACAGTTCCTCCTCTATAGCCTCTGTACACTGCTCCTCCCCCGAAAATTTTAGAGTAACAATTAATTTCATATAACGACACATTTATGTTCATGTACGAGTGGAATATTCTACAGCTCCTCACAGCGTTTGCCTTTATGGAACTAACGTCAGTGGTGTATATGAGATTGTCGAACAAACACTTTAAACATAAAGTGGGTCGTCGTTGCAAGTCTCAAACTGACTAGAAAGAACGAAAGATTTTCAAAACCTGAAGTTAGAAGACTAACCCAACAATCGCAAGTTCTCCATAAAGTGTTTCGCTCATTGCTGATCACATAACAGTCCAATGCAAGAACAGTTCAAAACCGACGCCAAACAACGAAGTGAGTGGTAAACTTCGCGTTTTAATAGGGAGAAGTAGGCTGGAATAGAGAAAAACAGAAATGGAGCAGTGCGTGAATATTTTGAAGCGGAAACATTGTTTGGAAATCATCATCATCATCATCGACAGCATGAGATCAGTGTTCAGCACCAATACTTCACTGCCGTACAACCATGACTTATTTGAAAGCCTTATTGTGAAGAAAAGAATAAAGGTGGATGGGGGGAGGACTAAGTGCTAGCATAACACAATCATTCCGAGGTGCCTACACCTCCAGACATTCACTCAGGCAATCTGGACAGAAACTGACAACAAGAACGCCACTGACATCGGTTGGCAGCCATATCCTGTAGTGTCTCCAACCAGGCACACTACAAGATATGTGCTTGTATTTGGAAAACAATGAGCACATATAGCAGGCTTCAGTTGAATTCACATTTTCCACTACAATGTTGAGAAGTACATTTTAGTTTGGGTCAGCTCGAAATTAGAAAAGGGGTCGACTGAGGCTTATGAAGGAAATCGAAAAAACGGGGTTCAGGGTCAAAACTAACAGTGAATACAATAGCACAATTGACAACACCAGATAGGTGAGGCTGTCTAGTTCTTAATAGATTGAGTCTTCAGTGGTCAAACCTCACACCGCACAGACCGACAACACAGATCCGTTGTCAAGCTTCCTATCCATCCGTCCATCTATCGTCATCATCATAGCAATTCACGAGTAGTGGAACCAGTTGCTTAACTTTCATAACCATGGAGAAAGGCCCCAGTGAAATTGAAGATGAATGGAAGGTCGTGGACTCATTGTAAAAGGCTGCGACTCTAGAAGAGGGACGTCCAAGAGCGAGATGCCTACATCTCTCAAAACCATTGAGATTAAAATACCTGAACATTATATCGGAGCGAGATTCCGTCAACATGATCGAACCAGAGTGCTTTCATCATCACCACCATCACCGTCGAAGACAGAAGCACCAGTGTAGAAACTAGTGTTTTTTATAGAGGAAAATGTTAGTAGCTCAGATAGCGTTGGCTTGTTCAATGAACTGGACAATTCGATTGCAAACGTTCCATCACCAATCGAGGTGACACCATCCATCATCAAATTTGGAAAAATCAGTCTTGAATATGTCTTCGTACCGCTTGAACCAGGAGTCAAAAGTGTGACCAGAAAGAGGGTCGAATGTGAACTCCGTAATTGAGGCCGCGGCTGCATCAGTTGAGGAAACAGAAGACTCACCAGTACTGACTGCTGCTGTCTGGATATGCAGTTTCTGAGTCAGTGATTCAATGAGCTTCAGTTGCGCTTCTTCAAACTGCTTTTGTTGCTGCTGCAATAATTCTCGGAGCTGATCAAATTCGATTGACATCGTGGGTTCCCGTTCGCCAATTGTTGTAACGGTATTTTCCCTCAGCTTAGTTCTCGGTCTGAGCCTCCCAAGCTAGCGTTCACGTCAAAACAAACACCAAAGGTGCACAAGGTCTATTAACGCCCAAAACGAAATCAGGAACAGTTGTACAGCGCTTCGTATATATAGCGTAAGCGGCTATAACTTTCTGGAATTTCTGACGCGTTCTGGAGCTCCATTGGCAACCGGCATTAAGTGTCCCGAATTCTTGGCCAATCTCGTGCGGGTCAGGCGTATCGGCCGTACCAGCGCCTAAAGACGTGTGGTAAAGCGGGATGTGGGTGGAATTCTGCCTAACACACCATCAGTGCGTCCTTGGGGGAGCGTAGTGGTGCGTAGCGGTTAGTGGTTGTGCGACGCACCGCTACGCACCACTACGCCCCCCAATGACGCACTGATGATGTCAGCCGATTGGTGATGAAACGTTTGCAATCAAATTGTCCAGCTCAGCGAACAAACTGGTGTTTCACTGCCATTCTTACGAACCTCACCCAAAACAAGCATAAAACAAACAAGGGCTAGATACAGCCCGGCTAAGAAGTGGTGGCAAATTCGTCAGTGAGATCGACAAGTTGCCGTGTTCGTAAGGTTTCCAGTCACATCATCATCAAAGACAGCAAAATCAGTGTTTCCACTGATGCTTCACTGCCGTACAACCATAAGGTTTGTCTAGTTAAACATATATATATATATATATATGTAATNAACTGACAGCACGAACGCCACTGACATCGATTAGCCGCCATTTCTTGCAACGTCTCCAGTCACGCACAGACGGGGTCACGGGGACCCCATCGTGGAAGTCGCACAACACCAACAACACCCATACTCTTCGTGATCTCTTTGACGCCTTTCTGACAAGGCATGTGCTGTCCACCTCGCGGTTTGCGCCATCCTGAAGGAGGCACGGAGAACAACACTCGTCTCGGTAGACGGTGTTTCAGCATGCGTAGCACATGACCGAACCATCGCAGTCGATGATGCTGGATGTTTTCTCGGATTGAGGTGCCTGCAGCACAACCAAGTACCCGTTTTCTAATCGCCCCGTTACTGACACGCTGACGCCATCCACAACCAGCCACGCTTCTGAGGCATCGGTGGTCGAAAACTTGAAGACGCCTCACATCATCTGTCCGCAGAGGCCATGTCTTGCACCCATACAACAGCACACACGACTCTTAAAATCTAGTGGAATGGCTTTTTGATGCCACAAGTGACGTAAATTAGGAAACGTGATTCGAGCGGGATGCCAACCTGGTAGGAGTTGCATTGACCAAATCTTCACACTTCGGTGGGTGCTAGAACAACGCCATACGCATAAGCGACCCACAATTCTGGTGTTCCTGTATTTGCAAGGCGCATGTAACTCGGTTGACCTTCATCATCGACAGCATGACATCAGTGTTCAACATCGATGCTTCTGCTCGACACGCTTGTCCACGAAGGAATGCCTCGGAAGTTCGTGAACGTAATAGCTCCTTGTATTCCCAGACTTCCGGACGTGTAAGAGTATATGGAGAGCTCTCCAAAAGCTTCCGTACACAAAGTGGTGCCCGTCAGGGATGCCAACTCTCTCCATTCCTGTTTAACTTCGTGATCGATGAAATCATGCGACGAACGTTGGAAAGTCTCCAAAACCCCGGTATCCTAATAGCCAGTGACGAAAACCTTGTCGATCTGGAATATACAGACGACATTGTTCTCATCTTCGAAAAGGAGGAGAAGGCGCAAGCGCTCTTGGTGGAACAGACAAAGGTCATCCCGTCCTTTGGTATGCACCTTGCACCCACAAAGCGTAAGGTCATGCTCCTGGACATGCAGTTGCTGAACACGCCGCTTACAATCCAGGGAGAGGTACTGGAAGTTGTGGAGCGTCTTAAGTATCATGGAAGTTGCATTAGTTCTGATTGTAGTGCGACAGATGAGGTGAATACATGAATCTGCAAGGCTCGGGTCGCGTTTGCTAAGTTGAGACACCTATGGCGTCAGGGTGGTTTATCCCTGAGTCTCAAGGGACATGTATATCAAGCTACAATACGGGCTGTTTTATTGTATGGCTGTTGGACGTGGCCTTTTCGAGCAGCGGAACTGAGACGTCTCCAGGTGTTCGACAATCGTTGTCTCAGAACCATAGCTCGTGTGGGTTGGTGTCGGCGAATCCGTAACGGGAAAGTTAGCAAGCGCGTTTTCGGTTGTTCAACGGGTACGTGCATTAAAGAATGTGTCCAGCACCAGAAGCTACGTTGGTTGGGACATGCCGAACCATCGTTTGCCGAAGAGGGTGCTGTTTCCATGCCCAAATCAGAGTGATGGGATCAGAGAGGTGGCTAATCCTTGACCTGGAAGAGGGGCATAAAGGAGATTACGAAATGTCCGGGTGCCGTCGATGCTACTCACCTACCACGAGGGGACCGCGTGATCCTCACTGTGCCTGGTTGGAGACGCTTTGAGATATGGCTGCCAACCGAAATGAGTGACGATCTTGTTGTCAGTTTCTATCCAGATTGCCTGAATGAGGTTTCGAGGTGTATGCACCTCGGAATGATTGTAGTAAGCTGACACTAAGTCCCTTCTCCATCCACCTGTATTTTTTCACAATAAGGCTTTCAAGTAAATCATGGTTGTACAGCAGTGAAGTACCGGTGTTGAAAACTTATGTCATGCTGTCGACGAGAATGATGATGAATGGGAAATCCTGGAGTGAGGACCTGCACTTTGAAGGTGCAAGCTGTCTACCCAATATTCTATTCGGGGTATTATGCGGAAACGCATGACCATGACGCAACAGAATAATGCCATCACAAAATATGAGTCAACCAACCTTTCTCCAGCTGTGACGTTGAGCCAGTGGCTTGATAGCGGTTCCCGGTAGGAAACCCTACTAGTGCCTCAGAGGTTGAGGGAGCGTTTAAACTCAAACATTACAGCTCGAGTTGAGCAGGTCGGATGAAAGAGATTGGCACCGGGGCAGACGGCCCACTAAAGTGTTGCCACATCATTCAGTTCTGCAGCCACCACCCTGGTTCTTATTATACATACAATTCCCAATACCACCCTCAATCACAACACTATCAGGTGAATAAGTTGCCGGACGTTGACACCTACAAAAGTTTTCTATATCTCAAGAGCCCTCCGACTCCACCAGGTTTATCTATTCGCTCACAAACTATGCTTGACCTGAAGTTCAGAGGCCATTTTGGTCGAATAATGCTTCGATGGGAATAGAATGTCTCGCACAGAGAAGCCACAGTGACATTCGTGAAATTCTTTGCTTATTTGGTGGGCTTTCAGAAACGTACGCCGAATTCTCTGGAGTATGAATGGCGGTGCTGACCTCGTCCAGTTCCGATTGGCGTCTCCTGAAGATGTGTCCTTTAAAGCTTCACATAGGGCAGTTTGGTAACATTTTGAAAGTGAGAAAGAGCTTCGACAGTTAAACAAGGGGCTTATTTTTTATTTCCCCGGAAAACTCACAGGGAACTTACACACGGTAAGAGTGCCCAAAAAGAGTGAAAATCAAACCCCGTATTTACGCATCAGTTACATCAGCTACCGCCTCCAATGCACGGCTACCTACCCCACCCCACCTCCCGAACCATTGATGAACGAAACAGTGGCACCCATAACCACTGAATGACAAGTACGGGGTTCTTACAAGTGATAATGATGACCAATGGCAACATATTCAATCTGACTCCATGTTTCTCCACCAGCCAGGTAGCGCAAGGGCAACTTCCACATCTCAATCCAAGGCTATTGAGCAGTGAGAAGCTTCAAAAAGACTACCATCAACGTCAGTATAATCTTGATTCCAAGGTGAACAGGTTACCAAATCGAGCCTCTGACGAACTGCGGAGCGCTACAAGCGGACATGAGCACTAGCGTTAGTCCCTGATAAAAAGCGTATTTCACCGAGCAAAAGCATCGAGTCTGCACATACAAAAACTACCAGAATGAAAATTATTTCTGCCAGTGCTGGTTCTTACGAAATTCTGTGGACGAACGGCGCAAATAGGGTCGAATCGAGTAAGGAAGCTTTGGCTCCGGAGCTGAGGGCTGTATGAACACCGGCGTAATCCGCTGCAGCAGACGCAGAATCACTTGAAGTTCGAAAGCGACGTCTAGATAAAGATACCGTAGACTCGACTACCAAACAATGATATCGCATTCTATTTCGAAAAAAGCATCGAACATCCATCAATGAAGATATGAATATAGGTGCTAAAGCAAATCGTTGACTGAATAACTTCAGATTCGCACACTAGAAGTCGCAGTAAGAACGGTGCGACGGGGTCTGAGAATTGGACTCGAAGCGCGTTACTAGTAACTTTTTTTTTAATGTAAAACTGACTCGCCAGTGCTCTGGATATACAGAATATCAGCCGCTAATCCGCCCTGCTGTATACTACAAGTAAGAAAACCCAGCCGACAGCCTCATGCGACCTGAAATAACTGGTTTATCATTATGTAAGGGCTGAGATCATCACCAACACTGGCAATACACCTGTACTACATACTGAAGCTCAACTGCCAACCAATCAATCAACCAATTTATCAGGGGTAAACCGTGTACCATGAGCACATTGGTTCCAGCCGCCACAGTTTCGATCACCAGAAGTGGGGTAGTGTGGGAAATATAGACAAACAGGGGAGTTAACGTTCAGGTAGCTCTATGAATAGGCAGCCGCACGTTGAACGTGATAGCCTTGATGCAATAGTGCCACTGACTGTGCGATTGAGCCATTCTGTCAGTGCCATTAATCGTCGGCGAGTTGAGTTCCGGGGTCCCCATCCAGGGAGATGGTATTTGTCGACCCGACTAAGCTTATTGGTTGGTTTTCATACTTCGGTGCAAGGTCATACACTGTCCACCTCTCGGTCGCTTTCACTCAGCACAGGGCTGGGTGAAAAGAGCACTGATGTGGACGGTCTTCAGAAATGTGAGGTGTGTGCCCCAAACA